TACAGTGAAACTCTATGAAATCTACCTGTTTTTTTTAAAATGTTTTTTTATTTAAAATGTGATATATAGTCTGCAGCAGTGGAATAACCTCCGCGAATTGTATTTTTGAATCACTTTCCATTTTCTTTGTTTACAGCAAGCAGAAAACACCTTTAAAAATTCACCTTTACCCTGCTTTTAACTTAACATAAAAGATACCTGTCAGAAAAGCGTGAAATGCTACGTCAAGTGCCTAATATTGGAGTTTTCATTTTATTTATGGTTTTCGAAGCCTAGCACAAATGCTTCAGTGAACTGTGCTGTGAAAGTATTTATTTTTGTATATTTATGTGTGAGAAATTATTTAGTTTTCACTTATAAATAAGACAGGCAAACCTTATTTACCGTAACTTTACCTAATGGTCCGTGGATGAGTGCTTTTATGCAAAATAGTCAAGAGGCTAGAATTAACTTTTCACATTGGATGCACATTTGATGTCTAGACCTGAACAACATGTGACATCTTATTATAAAGACTAACATTCAGGATTCAATTTGTATTTAACACATTTACTTCAGAATGCACACATCCTGCCTTTGCTACATTTAGTGTTAGCTTTGAAATGATTTCTATTTCTTGCTTGTAGATACATAAGTAGAAGTGTTTATTTGTTGCTTTTTCTAATTTTATTTTTTCTAGTTTTTTTAAGACTTGGTTAGTTAGCTATTTGATATTTTATTTTAACAACAGGTCACTTTTGGACATGCAGCATCTCCTTGGGTTGGGGTGATTATCGCAGTTACCTTTCTAAAGAAGGGTAGGTCTTTTAAAGAACCATGAACATGATACTTCCTTTTGTGGCTGTTAGTTCTTAGAGTTCTTTGTGGAAAGTTAATAGTAGGTAGACCATCTTTGATTTTAACACCCTTTTACTGAATAACCAACTAATAGCTTGTGTATACTTGGAGAAGAAAATTTAAGACAGCTCATCAGTAGACATGGAATATTGATTTTTCAAATTAAACCAGGTTTATTGCTCTTAAAATTTTCCTACTCCTCTTGTAGCTAGGCTGCGTGATGGCCCCTGGTGATCCTCACCTCCTATTATTCCTGCCCTCGTGTCCTCCCTTCCCACACTGAATTCCGGCTGGCCTGCATCATCAACGGAATATTGCAGAAGGATCAGTGTGTGACCTCTGAAGCTAGGTCATATATAACATTAGGGTTTCCACTATGCATATCACTCTGGGGAAGCCACCTCTGCCACATCCTAAGGACACTCAAGCAGCCCTTTGGAGAAGTCGAGGAGGCCAGCAGCTGAAGCCTCCTGCCAACAGCCAGCCCCAACTTGCCACCCATTTGAGTGAGCCATCTGGAAAGCCAGTACTCTAACCCCAGTCAGTTCTTCAGATGCCCAGCTCACACCTTCCTTGCAACCCCATAAAAGATCTTGAATCTGAACCACCCAGCCAAAGCCACTTCTGTATTGTTTACCCACAGAAACTCGGTTAAATAATACATATTTATTGTTGTTTTAAGTCGGTAAATGTTGGAATAATATGTTATGCATCTATAGATAACTAATGCACACATTTAAGCATTTCCTATTGATCACATAGTTTATAGTTTATAGTTGTAGGCATGAAAATTGTGGAGGCTTCTGTTGTGATTTGTAGTGTAATTTTTACAGGAGTTTTTATATAAGACATTGACATTAGAGCATTCATAACTGAATTTGAATTTTGGCTTTACTTTCTACCCACTGTGTATCTTAAGGAAATTACCTAAAATTTCTGATCATCAGTTTTTACTGAAAATCTGTAAAATGGGATAATGATATTCAACTCTCCATAATTTTTTTTAAGTCGGGATGAAATGAGATACCTATTAAGTCTGTAGCATGATGTTTGATATATCTCATCCTTTCTATTTAACCAGAAATTAGCCCCTTTCCATGTGAAGCTTCAGGTCTTTGCCCCAGGGGTAAAAACTTCTGTAAGCATCTGAGTTTGTGGTCTCTGTGTGACTGTTTATTAGTATTATAATCTTTAAGAGGCCCAGGACTTACTACTCTGCAAGTCATTTTTTCTTTTACATAATTTTCTTTTTACTGTGATGAGCCTAGGTGTGATTTTCTTCATATTTCTTGCTTGGGTTTGCAGAGCTTCTTGAACTTGTGGGTTGATGTCTTATCAGTTTTGAAAATTCTCAATTGTTCCCTCTGTAAATATTCTTCCTGTCTTTCCTCCCTCCCATTTTCCCATTTTCTTTATCCTTGTGGGATTGTGTTGAAAAGTATGTTAGCCCTTTTCCCTGTGTTCCATATATCACATATAATTTTTCTGTATTTTCCATCCATTTTCCTTCTCTGGCCTTCCCTTTGGATATTTTTTTCTTTTTTTAATATTTATTTATCTATTGATTTATTTTGTCTGTGCCGAGTCTTAGTTGTGTCATGTGGGCTCATAGTTATGGCATGTGGAGTTCTTAGTTGTGGCATACGTGTGGGATCTAGTTCCCTGACCAGGGATTGAAGCTGGGTCCCTGCATTGGGAGCACAGAGTCTTACCCACTGGACCACCAGGGAAGCCCCCGCTTTGGCTATCTTTTGACCTGTTTTTCATCTCACTAATCCTGTCTTCTGCTTTGCTAATCTTCTGTTGAGCCATCTATTGCGTTCTTAATTTCAGTTACATTTTTCAGTTGTAAAATTTTCATTTCATTCTTTTTTTACAGATTATAGTTCTCTGTTGAAAATCTCCCTTTTCATCTGTCTCATTCATCTTTTCCTCCCTCCCTCCCTCGCTCCCTTCCTTCCTTCCTTCCAGAACATACTAGTTATATTAAAGTCCTTTTCTTCTAACTCCAGTTAGTAGGTCACCCATGGGTCTGTTTTTACAATATTTTTTTCTCCTTGATTTTCAGTCATTTGGTCCAGTCTTGTGGTGCACCTGGTAATTTTTTATTGAATTCTTGGTATTGTAAGTGAAGAATTGTAGAAGTCCCCATAGTATTCTTTTTCCAAGGGGTCAACCTTTCCTTCACTGGACAGATAGGTTGAGGGTTATGTACCTTACTCCAGTCAGGGATTGAACTGAGTCGAAGCTAGACAGAAGTTTGGGGAAGCTATTGTGCTTATCCCCTGGGGACCAGGAGTCCCAAATGAGAGCCTGTGGTATTCACCAGGATCTCATTTCCCGATAGCTCCTGAACTCTAATTCTTCTCTTCCCAGCACATCAAGGCAGTGAGTTTGCATTTTTGAGGCTTTCTGTTTAGCTTTTTTGTATCATACCTTATGTAGCTTTGGAAATTCGCAGTTGTCCTTTGGGGAAAAGTGGCTGTGTAACAAACTCACTTCTTTGCCTCTGTCTTCCACTGGGGTCTTAGCCCATCAGGTCCCCACAAGTACCAGAAGGCTTGCTGTTTTCCATCCTCCCAGGAGTGGGCATCTTTCCAGGCAGAGATTCTCATCCTCTGGTTGATAATGCCTCCATGAAGAATGGCTGTAGAATGCCAACTCACCTCTCCATGGTTTGTCCACCATCTTGGAATCCTGACTCTTCTAGTTCAGGTTGCCTCAGCAGCCCTTTAATTTATGCCTCATAGTGATGTTTCTCTATAGTTCATTAAGCCTTCCTAGTTATTCTGGGTGAGAACACTGATGTGCCTCAAACTACCCAAATGTTAGCTGGAAGGTGAGGACTGCACAATTACTTTTGAAGGAAGTATCAATGATTAGATTATTTTTGTGAACTTCTCTTTTGGCCAGCTTTATCCAATCATAGGTGTTGGTATATGCATATTTTCTTGTTTCTCATTATATACTGATGAAGTAAAATGGAATATTTTTCTGAATCATTGTAATAATTTTTATAACTATCCTTGATTTATTAATTCATGCCGTTATAGTCAACATAGATTCCTAACTTTATTTTATAACTCTGAGGATTAAGGATGTCTTATGATGCTGTATCAACAGTGAAATTGAACATATAAAGTTAGTGATAATATTGAATACGTATAAAATGATTGAGTCAACAGTGAATATTCTAACATAACAATGAGAGTCAACTGAATATTCTAACATAAACTAAATAAATAATGACTGTTCATGGTTTACCAGTTATTTAAAATAAATATTAAAATGTTTTTTCTGAAGAGTAATATATGGTTTGTTTTATATAAAATTTCTAATTTTCTTTCACTTTAACTTAATTTTTATAATTATATTTTTCTGGGCTTCCCTGGTGGCACAGTGGTTGAGGGTCTGCCTGCCGATGCAGGGGACACGGGTTCATGCCCCGGTCCGGGAAGATCCCACATGCCGTGGAGCGGTTAGGCCCGTAAGCCATGGCCGCTGAGCCTGTGCGTCCGGAGCCTGTGCTCCGCAACGGGAGAGGCCACAGCAGTGAGAGGCCCATGTACCGCAAAAAATAAATAAATAAATAAATAAATAAAACAAATATTAAAATATTTTTTTCTGAAGAGTATTATATAGTTTGTTTTATATAAAACTTCTAATTTTCTTTCACTTTGACTTAATTTTTATAATTATATTTTTCTAATTAGCATGAGATATTCTCAAATCTGACAAAAATACTTGTAATCTTGAAATGCAAAATTCATGTCTTTTAGAGGTTTATTATATTCCTGTCTCACTGCTGTGTTTTATGTCCATTAGGGCACACTGACAACTATTTTGCCCATACGCTATTTATTGACTTTGTCTGCATAGTCAGACAGACAGTATTGTATTTAATATGCTAAAATTGACTATTATCAACAGTATGTATAGTCCTCTTTCCAGCTTTTGAATTTATTCTGCCATTGAAGTTGTAGCAGTTGATAGACCAGTTGGAAAAATGAAACACGAGGATCTTAACCTTTAGCTGTAGTTGGGTTGCTGACAGTCATTAAGGGAACCATCCCTGGTTCCCCCTTACAATGTGTGTTTTGAGTCTTTGAGTCTTTCAAATAAGTCCTTGAGGGCTGTCATTTTCTCTGCTCTCTGTGCAGGAAGAAGAGAGTGAAGAGGAGCCCAAACTGAAGTATGAAAGGCTCTCCAATGGGGTAACTGAAATCCTTCAGAAGGATGCCGCTAGCTGCATGACAGTCCATGACAAGGTAAGGTGGCCCATGTAGAAGATTCTGCTGTGAGTTGTTTCTGTGGTAAGTTTGTTGATACTTTGGAGTCCGGGTGCTTTGCATGGTGGTTTTTTTTTTTTTTTTACAGTAATCATGTCTCCTTTCCATTCTTCCTCTCTCCTTTCTCGCCAACAAAAAACCAAAACACAACAACCAGAGATATTATATAAATGTATTTGTACACACACACACCACCCACTGCAAGGGTATATCAAGTAGGATTCAGACGATGATGGATGTGAAAGGTTTGTAGCGAGTGGTTCTCGGAAACCCTAGCACTTAATTCCTCAGCTCTTAAGTAGTAGAGAAGGAAAGTGTTAAGATGAGAAGTATTGTGGAGCTCAGTGCTTTCGTGGAAGTAGAAGAGATAACATTGGAGGCCTTAGGAGTCAGCAGCAAGGCCCCAGATGATTACTTATCTATTACATGAATGAATGAATAGATTCCACATCTGGGTCTTCGCTATAACAAAGCCCCCCCACCAACTTTCTGAATCCAGGCTAAGTACTATACAGGACGCTTAGCCCATTCTTAGACCAAAACAATCTGGGTCATAATTGGAATATCAGAGGCCAGGGAGTTTCACTCATTGCTCTGTCTTCCCTATCAGCCCTGTGAGTGAGTTTCACCCATTGCTCTGTCTTTCCTATCAGCCCTGTGAGTGAGCCTTGGTACTTCCACAGAAGGCAGACCCCCAGCTCTCATCCATCTCCTGGCTTTATCCCTTTGTTACCAGCAGTATTGTCCCATCCTGCTCCTTACCTCCACCCCGTTCCCCTTTACTACCGATTTCATTCCATTGTAAACAGATTCCTGTACTTGCTCAGCACGGCAGTAGGATATGTGCTATCTGTTTTGTTTTTCCAGAAACCCCCTCCTTTGGCCCTGTTTCATCTCTCTACCCTTAAGGCCACACTCTAGAGGGTGTCCATCCCTGGGACTTGAGGATCTTTTGGGCAACGCTCTCTTATCCTTTTGTCCTTGAAGCTATTGTGTTCATCTTCCCACTAACCCTGTTTTGTGACTTTATGGAGCCCTGATCTCTAATCCATTCTTTCTCTTTCTTTCTGTCAAGTGGTCAACTATCCTAAGTTAACTTTACCAGCAGATTCAATTCTCTAATGGCCCTGACCCTCATGTGCCCCCCATCTACACTCTCAGCTCTGAGTCAGTGCTCAGATGACCAAAGCTGCCCGCCGTGTGCTGCTACACGTTGCGTGCCAAGGTGCACATGCCACTGAAAGGGCTGATATTTATTTGTCCTTCGTCAGCTCCTTTGGTCCGCAATCCGCCTCTTCAGCCACAATCCCTTCACTCTCAGAGGATGATGTCATTTCTATTTAATTAAGAAAATGGAAACTACCAAGCATGATCAGCCTCAGTTCCTGACCCCTTCCCCAGCTCATCTGAATCCACACCCATCCTCCCCCACAGGAGCTGTTCTTCCCCCTGCTCAAGGACCTTTTTGTCCACTTCTTTACTTCACTTCCCCTCATTTCCTCCCTTCTCTCCTAGCGATCAGGCTATGTCATGGAACAGACATAACTCTAGCCCCACATGACTACTGATCTACTTTCTGATTCTATGAATGAACCTTTTTTGGATGTTTCATATACATGGAGTCATACATTGGTCTCTTGTGTCTGGCTTCTTACAGTTACTATCATGTTTTTGAGGTTCACTTGTGACGGAGCACGTATCAACACTTCATTCCTCCTTATTGCTGAATAATATTCCAGTGTATGGACAGAACACACTTTGTCCATTCACCAATTTGTGGAAATTTCGATGCTTTTGACACTGTGGATCTCATCTTTCTTAAAACTTCCTTATCATGACACCATTTTCTTATCACTTTCTGATCACTTCTGTTATTCCCTTCTGGTTTTCTTTCAGTTTCTTTCACCTCTACTTTTCCTTTATATGTTGGTTTTCCCAAGATTTGGTCCGTCGGCCACATGTCTTCTAAGTGTGTACTTTTCTTTCTTTTTTTTTTTTATAGATTTATTTATTTATTTATTTGGCCACCTTGGGTCTTTGTTGCTGCACGCGGGCTTTCTCTAGCTGTGGCGAGCGGGGGCTACTCTTCGTTGTGGTGTGCAGGCTTCTCATTGCGGTGGCTTCTCTTGTTGCCGAGCACGGGCTCTAGGCCTGCGGGCTTCAGTAGTTGTGGCTCACGGGCTCTAGAGTGCAGGATCAGTAGTTGTGGTGCACGGGCTTAGTTGCTCCGCGGCATGTGGGATCTTCCCGGACCAGGGCTCGAACTCGTGTCCCCTGCATTGGCAGGTGGATTCTTAACCACTGTGCCACCAGGGAAGACCAAATGTGTACTCTTCTTGATATTTAAATTTCATGATTTCTGTGACCACCTCCACCCTGACCCTTCCAAAAATAGCGTGCTTATTTATCCAGGTGCCTCCTACACAGCTCTACCTTTGGTTCTGTTTATACCTGAGACTCACCATGTCCATAATGAGCTCATCTTCTTTTCCCTTCCTTCCCTTGCCTCTGTTGTTTTTGGGTTCTCTGCCCCATTTGGTGGCATCACCTAAGCCAAAGCTGACTCCTTCTCCCCTTCTGCCCAGTCATTCCCTAAGTCCTGGTGGTTCTCTCACCACCCCTGCCCTAGCCAAGGCCCTCATCTTCTCCTGGCTGTACTCATGTGCCTCTCATTTTTCTACCCAGATGTGATTTTCATCATCCAGTAAATAAAAGTCTGAGCTCCTTCATGTGGTGTTTAAGGTCCTCTGAGATCTTGCCTCCTTGTGTGATTGGCCCCATATCTGACCACTTTCTGCCACAAGTGCAATGCTCTGGCAGCAACTCCTGACTCTTCTTACTCACAACATCCCTTCTGCCTGGATTCTACCCCCATGTCACCTGCTTGAGTCTACTCCCATGCTGAGTCAAAGATCTTTTAGTACAGGCATTCATCATTTCTCCCTGGAACTAATGAACACACTGTGAACCAATCTGTTTTCTTTCAGATTTGATTTCATCCTAGTCCATTTATAACACTTCTTTCTACTGAAATAATCTTCCAGGAATTCAGATCTGATCATGTATTCCCTCTTCCTAGAATTCTGTATTGGCTTCCTGGTGTCTTCATGATTTGGACACACTCCCCACCCCTCATCCCCACCCCCAAACACACACTCACTTTGTTACGTTTCATCTCTCCATAAATATTGCCTGGTGGCGCAGTGCTTAAGAATCCGCCTGCCAATGCAGGGGACACAGGTTTGAGCCCTCGTTCGGGAAGATCCCATATGCTGCGGAGCAACTAAGCCCGTGCACCACAGGTACTGAGCCTGCGCTCTAGAGCCTGCGAGCCACAACTACTGAAGCCCGTGTGCCTAGAGCCCGTGCTCTGCAGCAAGAAAAGCCACCACGATGAGAAGCCTGTGAGCCGCAACCAAGAGTGGCCCCCGCTCGCTGCAACTAGAGAAAGCCCGCACGCAGCAACAAAGACCCAACGCAGCCAAAATAAAATTAAATAAATAAATATATATATATATATATATATATATATATATATATATATATAACCCTTCAATGGCTCTCATTACACGCAAGATGAAGTCTGAAAAGTTAAAAAAAAAAAAAATTTCATGAGTCTCCTCTTAACCAACCTTGCCAATCTCATTGCCTGTCTCCTGCCCTGGATGCTTCCACCATATAAAACTATTTGTAATTTTTTGCCTTTGTCCTGCTTTTTATGTGACTACATGCCTTTGTGCAAGTTGTATCCATGCTGCCTAAAATGGTCTTTACCACAAGCCTGCCCCATCTGCCTCAGTGTCTACTGTCTAACACTCCTCCTTCAAAGTTGACCCTTGAACAACACGGATTGGAACTGCATGGGGTCCACGTATACATGGATTTTTTTCAGTAGTAAATACTACACGGTCCCTGGTTGGTTGAATCTGTGGCTGTAGAACCACTGATCTGGAGGAACCGTGGATCTAGAGGGCCAACTATAAGTTATATGTACATTTGCAACTGCAGGAAGGGTGGGTGCCCCTAACCGCCCCCCAGATTGTTCAAAGTCCAACTGTCTACTATTGAAAAAAATCTGTCTAAGTGGACCCTCCCAGTTCAAGCTTGTGTTGTTCACGAGTCAATTGTACTTACTTTTAAAGCATACTCTAAAAATTTAATCTTAATCAGTTCTTCATTTCTGTCTCCATCATTTTACCATCATCCTTTTAAGTCATACATGCTTATTATCTAAGCATATCATAGGTGCTTTGTGTGTGTGTGTGTGTGTGTGTGTGTGTGTGTGTGTGTGTTGAATAAACCACCAAATTGATGAAAAGGAGAACAAAGTTTGCCTCCCCAGAGGTCAAACTTTATTAACACTATACTTAATCCAACTTGGCCAAGGAGCCTGACGGTGGGAGCTGTAGTCAGACTAAGTTTGAGAACATGCACTCTTGATCTGAGGCTCATGTTTCTATTTACCAGCCTTCTGATCCAGTTGAGAGTATTTTAGCTCTTAATTCTGGCCCTAGCTCTGCCACTCATTGACTGTCTCCAGGGAAGTCACATCAACTCCCAGAACTTATTTCCTTATGTGTAATTGAAGGCAGTCCATGCTCTAATGCTTTGAATGCTGTAAAGTGCTATAGGTGAAACATAGATTTTACTATACAGCTGAACACATTTGAAATGTGCCACTTCTTGTTTCTTTCGTGGTGTCCAAAAGACTGCAAATTGCTCCTTCTACCTGTTTACTTACAAAAAGTCCAGTTGTTCAAAGGAAAAGCAGTTATGCTAGTGGATGGTTCAGAAGGATTCAATGCCCAAATGATAGTTTATAAAATGAGTCAAGTTTCTGTATTTAAACAGGAAAGGGACTAATTAAATTATGTTTATTCTTTGCCCGTGCTGGATTTTAAGTGCTCTCAGGTTAAAAGAAAAAAAATTCAATAGTTACAAAAGCACAGAGCTTTTCATGTCTGGAACGAGGGTCATATTTAGAGGATTTATATTTATGTGTGTGATTTGTGGCCAGTTCTGCATTTTTTTCTTGTATTTTAAGTAGTTGAAAGCAACTTAAAAACTTTCATTTCATTAGCAAATGAAAGTATGACTCATTAATAGTTTTAGTAGTTAAATTTTTAGGAACTGTACGATTGCCTTATCAAACTTGATTGTTTTAAGAGCACATAAAGTTATTTCTAAAAGGGAGCAACAATATTTTATCTAATCCAAATGATGAAATGTTTCCCTAAACAGAAGGTAGCTTGTTATAAAAACCACTGCATTTTTTTTTCAAAGGTGTTCTAAAGTAATTATAGTTTTAGGTTGAAATCATACAATCAAAATAATTATTTTATGTTTCCTTTCTGTCTTAAGTGTTAAATGAACTAAACTAGTAATTTTGAAAAGAAAAAAGGAACGAATTAATATTTGGGGTAAAGTACTCTGTATAGAACCTTTAAAACTTTGATGAAATATAATTGGAAGTTCAAGAACGGCCTTCACAGAGATATCAAGAGAATGACCCAGTATTAAAGCATTGGCCCTCTTGGTTTTCTTTCTTTCTTTTCTTTTTTCTTTTTTCTTTTTTTTTTTTTTTTTTTTTTTTTGACTTTTGGCCGCGCCATGCAGCATGTGGGATCTTAGTTTCCTGACCGGGGATCGAACCTGTGCCCCCTTCATTGGCAGCATGGAGTCTTAACCACTGGACCGCCGGGAAAGTCCCCCCCTTAGTTTTCTAACAAAGTAAATACAGTGTTGATGAGGAGGGTCAGTACTGTCGAGTACTTGGGTGTAGTGCGCTTTTAAAACCCATTCATTCTTTTACCATAGGTGGCCTCAGAATGGAGTATTGTTTGTAGCTAGTATTATGTGGCATTTTTCTATTCAGATATTGTCAGAGTGTCACTGTGGAGAAGAAATTACACCCCTCTGAGTCCTCTCTTTCTGATTAGAATGTTTTTTTGCTTTGGAGGAAACAGTCCTGTTTGGTTTAAATATTCAGACTCATTTCCCCCCCCAGAATTACCTCTTCCCCTGCCCTTTCCAGGGCCCCAACATCCTGTTTTCAGCAGCCTTGTTGTCTGCCCTGGATGAGTAATCGGCCTGGCACCTTGTGCATTCAGGCAGCCCTGTGCAGTGGAATCGTCATACCTAGTTATGTCTGCACACCTGATGTTTTATTAACCAGTATTGATTTTTTTACCCGGGGGACTTTTTTTTCTTCCTGAAAAAAAGGCAACCTTGCAGGAGTGAAAGGCATTGCAGGGACTGAATTTCTAATGAACCCCCTTCTTTTCCTTTTTGTGACACCTCTTTAATGTAGCTTTGTATTTTAAGCGCCTGATCTGAAATTTCATTTTCAGTAATTCCATTCTGAGAAATCCTTTTAAATCTTGACTTTCTGTAAGGTTAATTTTTTCAAGATTGTGCTGCTTGACTGAAAAGCTTAGTAGTGCCTATAAATTTAAGCATTTCGTTCTAGGTTGCGATGGAGCATGTTCACATGCAACGAAATACAGAGAATTTGGAACTCTTTGAGTACTGCTTAGGGAAATAAAAGGGAAGATAAATCTCATGTCCTATTTCAGGTAGTCCTGAAGTTTCTTCTCATTTCTTTAGGGTTAGTTCAAATAATTAAAGAAACAGTGGGAGTTATGATCTAGTTTTATGTCATAAAATGAATACAAAGCTCAACAGTTATTTTTGTGACAGAAAAGGATTTTTTTCTTTTTTGCATTTAAAAATAAACATTGACACTTAATATCACACGTTTACTTTTAGAGAGGCATTCTCACAATGACAGTATAAGTACATCTGAGTTTTTGCATCTCAGTGTGTCATGGATTTTCCTTCCTAAATAAGATTACTTTGTTGTGTGTGTGTGTGTGTGTGTGTGTGTGTGTGTGTGTGTGTGTGTATGTGTATGTTGAACTTAAATGATAGCACAGATTTACACAGTTGCCATAAATTAAGGGGAGTTTACAAATCATTCCCTTCAGATGCTGAGTTCAACCGTGGGTTGGTCGTACGTTCACAGCTGCATTTTAATTTGCTGCCTCAGTCCATCAGGGCACTGTGTACAGGCTGCATGCACACCATTAGTTGTCAGTAGATGAGGGTCCTCGTGAGTCATTCTGACAGCTAGCTTGCATGATCCCAAGAAAGAAGGCCCTGTTCTGTGATTTCCTCCAAGCTGGAAGCAAGCCTTCTCAAAGGAATGTGCGTCTTCCGAGGCATCGCAGATCACTTACACATTAAGTGTCTTAACTTTGCATATGGTTTTATTACTAATTATGTATGAATGGTCCATTAAGAAACTGACCCCTGGGGCTTCCCTGGTGGCACAGTGGTTGAGAATCTTCCTGCTAATGCAGGGGACACGGGTTTGAGCCCTGGTCTGGGAGGATCCCACATGCTGTGGAGCAACTAGGCCCGTGTGCCACAACTACTGCTACTGCGCGTCTGGAGCCCGTGCTCTGCAACAAGAGAGGCCACGATAGTGAGAGGCCCGCACACCGCGATGAAGAGTGGCCCCCGCTTGCCGCAACTAGAGAAAGCCCTCGCACAGAAACGAAGGCCCAACACAGCAAAAATAAATAAATAAACTCTTACCCCCAACATCTTCTTTAAAAAAAAACCAACACATATGCCCTTTTGAAAAAAAAAAAAAAGAAACTGACCCCTGTACCCCTCTGTTCTTCTTACAGTTCTTGGCACTGGGCACACATTATGGCAAGGTTTATTTACTGGATGTCCAGGGGAACATCACTCAGAAGTTTGATATAGTAAGTATCCAGTATAAAGTAATGTGCGAGCTAAATTTCATGCTGAAATCTGTGCTTTGAAATATTTGTTTTAGCCATTTGTTTTTAGAGCATAAAGAAAGGATCTTTATCGATGAAATCGGAGTGCTAAGAGTTCAACTCTGAACTTTGTAACCTGTGCTAAAAAGTTTTAAAGGTGAACTTACAAAGAAAGAGGGCTGTATTTATACATAATGTATTTTCACTGGGTATCTGCTATATAAACCCCTTTTAAAAATTTATTTTTATGAATCTGTTTAATTGCAGTTCTTTAGTTAATTATAGTCATCCATTTGGCTTTAAATGAAGCATTTAAAATACTCCTATGTGTATTTGTTTTAAACTGTAACAGTGTAGAATGTCTAGATGAATTGTTAATCAAAGAAAAAAGATTGCTTTTATTGGTGATTAGCGGTGCTAATTTACATACTCTGGGGGTTTGTGGAATCCTTAAAGTGTGAACCCCCTCATTTGATGACTAATGTCCATTGTAAGTACATGCCCCATAATCTTCTCCAGATGCCAAATGTAATTGAAAATTGATTGATCACCTTGCTGTTTCAGTTTATCTCTTCTAAATATATAAAGCTAATATTTTATGTGAATGTTCTGCGAGTTGGACTCTTAGGGGATTATATTGACTAAAAGAGAAGAGCCAGGCTTTTTATTTATTTAATTGTGATTTGGAGTTACCAAGGATGAAGGAAATGTTGAATCGGAAGCTTGATTTTGGTGTTTAAGATGGGCCGAGAAAGTATCAAGTGTCCGTGGTTGGGTGAATGTGAACCTTTGGGATGAAAAAGGTGGTCGTTTTGGGGAACATATTCCTTTTTTTGAAGAAAGCGTCAGCACTTGTTGAAAGATCCATCATAAGGTATTGGTGTAGTTTACAAAGGACACCACAGTTTCTAAAGCTCATACATTATATATTAAAGGTACCAGGTTGCTTTGTTTTGCTTAAAAGAAATGGAACCACAGATGATGACAGTATCCTTGGAATCTTTGGAATAGTCCTGGAAGGGAATTGTGTGTTCTAACCACTGATCCATCAGGCACATGATGGGTTCTTGTTTGGCTTCGGCATCCCTTTCAGACAAGAGGATACTTTTGAACCTCTATCTTCTCCCTCCTGGACACTGGCCACCCATTTTGATGATTTAATAAACATTTGGCCTTCCCATTACCATGCATTAAAATGTGAGCTGGTGCTAGGCAGAGCTCTTTTTTATGGTGTCACCCATATCTCCTCACCTTGAAAAAAGAGCTTGCCTGGATGGTCTCTTAAATTTAAAGCTCCAGTTTAATGATTCTGTTCAACTCTGCTTCTCAGTATGTCTTTTTAATATTATATAGAAATTACTTGATGGCTGAGGTTCACAGGACAAACACTGCTGGTTCCATGGCCAAAAGAGAAACCAGGAGAGATACTGTACGAGTTGATTCGTGTCTTTCTTTACCCATTCATTCATGCGGTCCTTGTGCCTATTCAGTATAAGCCTTCAGCTTTATCTTTTCTGATATCAGTTTTATGTCAGGTATATCCTGCGTCCTTTTCCAGGTAATTCCTGGTTCTTTCTTTTCAGTCCTGCCTTTATGACATCTTTGAAAATTAAGTTCTTTATAGCTTTGCACTTATTTTTGGGCAGGAGAGGAAGATGGTTTGGTGCTCTGTTTGTTTGTTTACCTCACACAGGAATTTAATAGTCTGCTGTGGAGAAGTTTTTCATGAGGCCTTGGGTCTTCATGACCATTACCTTATGAGGTATATGACTTTCAGGTGACAAATTTCAGAATGTCATTATCTTTTGAAAGGAGCCTTAATCTTCACATCTCAGATGAGTTTTTTCCTTTATTTTTGTTTTATTTTCCTGTTTCTGATGATGTGGCTGCTTTTGGGGGCTCCGTATCAGTGCTCTTAAAAAAGGATTTTTTCAATTCTAAAAACACTTATGGCTTGAATTTGCAGATTTTCTTCGGATGTAATGATTGCCATATTCAATCAAGAACTGTTTTCTTCATTAGAAGTGCAGCGAGAGTGAAACAAGTATTAAAAAAAAAAAAAAACTAGTGAATTAACACCTCTGACTTTAGTTTTTAATTCTAGGTGAAACTAATTTAAATGAATTAAAATTAGATAAAATAATAATACCTTATACTTGCATAACATTAAAAAATTTTTTTCTCGAGAAATGTCTCCTCAACCCATTCACTGCATTTATAGCTTTTGAATGCAGTAGTAAAGTCACAAAGCAGTAGTTCAAAATTCTCACCTATCAATAGGGTTTTGTTTGGCAGAGGGTGGAGACATAGAGGAATCTTTATTTTTTAAAAGGTTTCCCAGAGGATTCTGCTATTTGTGTTGGAATGGAATCATTACATTAAAGGCTGTATAACTTTAAATGTATATGATACAAAAGAAGAAACAACTAAACAAATCATTCTGCATGTTGAAGAAAGTGATTTGTTTTTCCATTAATATTTCAGGAGAAATACTTTTTAGCACACTCTACAAAAGCTAAGCATATGCCTTCCTAATGACCCAGCAGTTCAACGTATATATCAAGAAAACGGAATACAGTGCATATGTCCACAAAAAATATATGTGTAGGAGAGTGTTAATAGTAGCTTGATTTGTAATAACTCCAAACTAGAAACAACCCATATGTTCATCAGTAGTAGAATGGATAAGCAAATGATGGTATATTCTTAGCAATGAAAAAGAACAAACTATTGCTACATGCAACAAACATGGATGAATTTCACTGTCTTAATGTTCAGCCAAAGAAGCCAGACACAAATATGTACACGTTGTATGATTCCTTTTATGTGATGGTTAAGAGAAGGCAAAATCATACTATGATGATAGAGTTCAGATAATGATTTGACCTGGGAGAGAGCACAGGAAGAATCTTCTGAAGTGTTGATAATAGTCCCTATCTTGGTGGTTTCCCGGGAATATACATATGTAAAAAATCACTAAACTGCACATTTGAGATTTGTGCACTTTATTCTATACGAGTTATACCTCGATAACATGCACACGCACGTACAGAAATACCTATATACGTGTCTGTCTCTTTGACCTTGAGCAGTGTTCAAATTATCCTTTGTTGAAGCAACCCTTTACTCTACTTACTTCTAAATCCCAGAACATTTCCTAGGTTGGTATCTTGTTCAGAGATCTTGCTATAAATGAATCATGCCGCTAAGATTATTCTTACAGCTGTATATTCTTCTATAATTACATAAAAAGTTTGATAGAGAGGATTCTGTGCTACCCAACCATCCATGACTGTTCTTTTGTGGATCAAAAGCAAAAACCACTAGGGTGGTGATTTATTTTGCATGTTGATATTCAGATTTCAGTCCATCTGAAAGGATATTCAGAATATATGTTAATTAACATGCTTTAGCCACACGTGTGTTTTTTAAAGATTTTTTCCCCTAGGTGTAACTTTATGTTAATTCAGATTTAATTGATAAAGTTCAATTTTACTGAAATCACGGAATAAAATTAAAATAGGTCTAGCTTCTCAGGTAAAGGGGCTCAAGTTGCTAAGAAAATTGCCTTCTTGAATATAGATCAAGCCATATTCTCCTGAATAATGGGTGTCTCAATTGCTTACACAGTATGTAACATATGACTTCAAAATCCTTAGGGGATCTCAAATTCCTTTTAAATTCCCACATAGCATCTATGCCCATATGATGTCGTTAATCATAGTAGTTACTTTCTCTTTAATAGCCTCCACTTTCCTTAAGCATATTAATTTATGGCTTACTAATTAAGAGTACTTATTGTACTTTGAAGCAATGAGCAAGTTATTTTGGAGCATTATTCCATATGTTTTAAATCTTTATTAAGTGTGCTGGAGGGAGAGCAAAGAAGTCCACTGACCAAATAAATCTCTGCTCTTTACCTTTATGTGTTTTCTTCCTTTGCTAGAAATAGGAAATGAAAAGGTTTGGGTGTCATCATGCCATGGCAGAAGACATTAGGTGAATACTTACAAAATGGATCGTTACAAAAAAGAAAGGAATAGGAAAACAAAATAGAACAGGGGCTTATTAGGCATTTTGTGTTAAGATAAATATGGAATTAAAAAAATTAATCTCTTAAAGAAGAGGTGGTTTCAGGATTCTCCTTGAACTCCAGATAGTAGCGTCTTTTGCTATTTCTACTTTTTTTTAATTTGGCTGTGCCACATGGCTTGCAGGTCTTAGCTCCCACTGGACAGCCAGGGAATTCCCATCTTTCGCTATTTCTATTGCTGTTTTTGATTTGGGATTAGACTAACACAGTCTTTTCCTTACTGCTGACCCTTGGTACTTCTTATGGTCGTATGGTATTAAAAACCCAGATTTCTGTGAAAACTAGCTCACACTACGGTATTTTAACACCCTCTTAAGAGTTCTTTTTATTTCTGCTTATCTTCCCCACTCATCAGTTCAATCCCTGTGTCTTTGAGAACCCTGGACAGCTCCTCACAACATCCCAGATCAAGTCCTAATCTGTGGCTAAGACCCTTGTCGTATGGCCGAAACCTACGTTTCCAATCTTAGTTTTAATTTCTTCCCTCTCCAGTCATTCTGATCCACTCACCGTCTTCTGGTTATTGACTTGGACACGCTTCTTCCAGCCTTTTAATCACATACTCCAAGGATGCCCTTCTTCCATTAAGTCCCGTTCTTTCTGCGATGTGCTTGTACTGAAGTGACCTCTCCTTTGAACTCCTGAATTATCGCTATTTTCACTTGCAGTGTTAATCTGTCATAGTGTCTGTCATAGTGTCAGACATAGTGTCATAGTGTCATAGTGTTTTTTTTTTTTTTTTTTTTTTTGCGTCTTGCCCCCAGGGTAAATCAGGAGATAGAAGTGTTCTCAGCTTTCTTTGATTCCCCCACAAAATAGTCAGCAGATGAGAAATGCGTTTACGTTTTTATTTAGGAGCAATCGAAAGATTTTCAGTACCATTTCGGCC